GGCGCACGGGGCTCAATATGTCTCTCTTATTTTCTCCCTCGCGGCAATTCGGCGTTCTCTGCAGCTTCTCGGCCCCAGCGCGTCGGCGCGCGACCCCCTCCGCCCGCTCGCGGCCGGCGCGACCCGCGCGCCAGGGGGCTGCGATCCGGCCCGCAATGCGCAGGACTTCCCGGACTCATTCGCGGCGGGCGTGATCTTCAAGGACACTCGTGGGTTCAGCTTCGGGCGGGGGTCGCGCCACCCCGTCCGTCTTGAGCCTGCGGCGGGATCGACTGCCCGCCCCTGGCGGGCGGTCGTTTCGAGCAGGGGAGCCCCGCCCCCTGCCACAGGGCGATCGTTGCCGCGACCGCGGCGGCGCTTGCCTGGGAGCTTGGCTTTCCGAGCCCTGCTCTTTCGGGCCCTGCCCGTCGCCCCTTGCTCCCTGCAGGGCAGGCGTGCTTACCCACTTGCTGGGTGCTGCCAGCGCGCCCCGCGTTTCTGCGCTCCTCTGCCAGAGGCCCTTCACTCGTCCGAGCGGCGCTGGCTTCCGCGCCCCAACTTGTAGGTGTGGCGGCCGATGGCGTCGGCCTCTCTCTTTCTCACGCCGTTGCAAAAAGGTTCCTCCTTCCTCTCCTGCCCTCTCCCCCTTCGCTCTTGGAGAGGCGGAGCTGGAGGCTTTCATGGGAGGATTAGAAGGAGGACGAGGAACTCGCGCGTCGATGCGCCACGCCGAGCACCGCGGCGCAGCGCCGGCCGAGGCATCTGAACAGTGCGATTCTGGCGGACCGGCGCACCGAGATGCGCCGCCATTCGTGCTCGCAGACAGGCCGACGCATCGGAGCTGGGCAGCGCCGGCAACGCGACCTGCGGAGACGACGCAGCCGGCGGCGCTCGCAGACATCCCGCAGCCACATCGCGAGCGGGAGCGAGGCGCGAGCAGGAGAGGGCCGCAGCCCCCCCCCCCAAGCGTGGCTGGTCTGACAGGACCTCCCCCCTCCGCCAATCTCCTGGGCATCGCTCGGACGTCCACTCCCCGCGCGTGCTTCGTTGTCGTGCGCGTTCTATGCTGCCAGATGATCCAGGATGTTCCATGATGGCCATCGCCGAGGAACAATGCACGCGTCCGGGCGATGCCGGGTCTCCTGGGCGACCGCGGCGAGCACGAGCTCCAGGTCGTCCCGCAGCTCCTCCGGGAGGTGGCGCAGGGCGCGCCAGTCCTCGGCCCGAGGGCCGCCGGGAGGAGGCCGAGGACGAGGAGGAGGGAGGGGGGAGGAGGACGCCACAGGGTCATCCTGGTTGCAGGCAGGACGAGTCAAGGGAGGAGAGGACGAGGGAGGGCGGAGGCGTACAGGAGAAACCAGAAGGAGGAGACAGGGCGAAGGGGGCACGAAGACGAGGACGGGAACTGAGGGAGAGGAGGCAGCAGGGACGATGACTGAGGAGGAAGGCTGATGACGAGGGAGGAAGACGAAACGGATAGTTACCATGCCGATGTTACGATGTTGGTGCCAATGCTTGCTGTGGCCAGTGGATGATGGCGTTGCTGCTGGTGCTGAGCACGGACATGGAGATATACGGCCTGAGAGAGCGATACAACAAGTTGTCGCTTAAGTTCCTGCAGTGGCACCTTCCCGCTCATCTGAACATCACAAGGGTCCCCGCCTGGGGTAGCCACTTGAGGTAACAACTTATCCTTGCGAAGAACCTAACCCTATGCATTTGTCAATGCCGCCGTTGTGAGAACTGCCTTCGCTGGAGCTCCCTATGGGCACGAAGCGCAGGAAGGGTGCGCCGCACGCTGTCCCTTTGGGGTCGCGGAACGTATGCGGGGTGCGCCAAAATGGACGGGGGGCGGCATGCGAACCATGCCGCTTGTGCCGTCGTCGTAGCTCACTATGGGGCCACCAAGCGTGCGAGGGGTGGGCGAACGTGGAAGGGGGCGGCATGCGAGCCAGGCCACTGGGGCCTTCGCTGGCGCTGGAGCTCCCAGAGGGGCCACGAAACGGGTGAGGGGTGTCCCAAAGAGGAGGGGGGCGGCATGCGAACCATGCCACTGGGCCCTTCGGCGGAGCTCCCTACGGGGCCACGAAAAAATGTGTTGGGTCCGCCAAAGAGGAGGGGCGGGGGCGACATGGTAACCATGTCACTGGGCCCTGCGGTGGAGCTTCCTATGGGGCCACGAAACGTGTGAGGCGTGAGCCAGAATGGAGGGGGGGCGGCATGCGAACCATGTCACTGGTGCCTTCAATGGAGCTCCCTATGGGGCTGCGAAGCGTATGAGGCGTGTGCCAAATTCGACGGGGGGCGGCACGCGAACCATGCCACTGGGGCCTTCGGTGGAGCTCCCTATGGGGCCACGAAACGTGTGAGGGGTTTGGAAAGGGGGGCGGCATGCGAATCATGCCACTGGGGCCTTCGCTGGAGCTTCCTATGGGGCCACGAAGCGTGCGGTGGGTGCGCCAAAATGGAGGGGGGGGGGCGGCATGCGAACCATGCCAGGGTCTTTGGGGGAGCTCCTCCCAGTGGGGCCGCGAAACGTGCGATGTGGTGTGCCAAAGTGGAGAGGGGGCGGCATGCGAACCATGGCACTGGGGCCTGCGGTGGTGTTCCCTGTGAAGGGTGTGGACATCAACGGATTCACCACCCACACTGTGCAGATGCCATCCCCCTCCCTCGAGCCGCCCATCCCCACAATCTTCCGACCCCCACCTCCTCGAACCCCAGCAAACCAAAGGAACGCAGCAGAAATACTGTAGGCAGAAGTTCGTCCGGCACGCCACGGGGGTGGACAGCTCACCGTCCTTACGTGGCACCGTCGCTTCCGAGGCTCCTCTGCTTGAGACATGTTCGGGCTGCCTGCCGAGAGCCCACGGCTTCTCCACGACGGCCGTGGACGACCCCACGACGGCCCCGAGACGCCCCCAAAACAACTCAACGACGCTCCGAGAGAGCCCCTCAAACCGCCATAAGGCCGCATGGGCTGGCCAAACGTGGTTCTGCTGATCTTCTGCTGTAGGATCCAGCACAGTTTCGCAGCAAAAGCATACTCCAGACCACCACGAGCCCTTTAGAAGCCCCCGACGACCCCCACACACGAACCCCAGACCTCCAACCTCCAACACACAAACCTCCTTCAAACAATCCCCAACAAGGATAACCGACATACGTGCCGCGTCACGACTCTCGATGCTGCGCGCAGCTCCGCAAAACTCCCAAAGAGCGGCCGCTGGTTGGCCGCTGGCGTCCTCGATGTGAGAAGTATGAGGGAGCATGTCAACACGTTCCCTATACACCCACGGTGGACTTGGTGCAATTGCAATCCATGCGCAGTGTGCGAGGCAGCTGCACGGTAACCATCAGATGGCAGCGAAACAGCTGCTGCGCGTTATGAAGGAAACGCAGATGTTGGGCAACGATGAGGTGGCTACGAAACAAATGCGACGTGACATGGCAGTGACAAGCCGTCGAACAACTCCGCACGCGCTGGGGCTGGGGGGTGGGCGAAATGACATACCGAAGGAGACCAAGTCCTGCAGAGATCAAATCAGGGACTCGGCCAACGGCAGTGTGTATGAACTGCCGAAATGAATCTGCACAAAGGAGTTTGCCACCCAAGGTGGCAATCATGATGAACATTCATCCGCGTACCGCGCAAGCGACGTCCCTGGAGGGCAAGTAGCCCCTGGGGCACCAATGGCACATACGGATTACACATGTTAGTGCCAGTTCACAAGCACACGATGCACTCCATGGCCATCCGTTCTCAAACTGCCTCGACGCCCTGTGCTACAGCAGCTGCCATGTTTCATGCGTTTCGCTGCCCAGAGTACGTGTCACATAGGTGTAAACAAAGCTAAACAATTAATACACCCACACGTTCCACGCGGGGCCTGCACACGCGGCTGCGCGAAACGCAAAAATCAAAGAGGCAATACGGGGAAGGATGGGAGTCATGATAAAGACTCGGGCCAATTGCGCAGCAAGTGCGCAGAAGAGGATGGCACATGATGGAAGCACGCAAGCTGTACCTGGCATCCGGCTTTAACAGCTCGCAGCCCTATATTTAGCCAAACAAGCTCGCAGTACAATGCCTGCTTCCAAGCACTGGGAACTCAGATGGCTCTCCTCCTCATCCTCTTCCTCCCCTGTAACGCGTACGCGGGTGGGAGCAAGAGGCCGTGCAGCGGCTCAACCTGCAACCCTAATATTCCGACGCCTCCATTTAGTTGCACCCCCTACAATGAAACTACAAGCAACGGATGCGCACGATCGGGCAGTCCGGCTCAGGCGACCTCCTTTGAGACAGTGCTGCGCTCCTGCGCACGACTGTACAGCGTCTCCTCTGCAAATGTATTGCAAGTCTTCCTCATCCTCCACATCTTCCCTCCACATTGTAAATCACTTTGCAGATAGCTGTAACAATAATGAAACCTGAGAAAAAAAAAAACCAATCGGGGCGATAGGGCTAGGGGGCTATAGGGCTATAGGGCTATTGAGCTATAGGGCTATAGAGCTATAGGGCTATTGAGCTATAGGGATATAGAGCTATGGGGCTATGGAACTGTCGGGCTATAGGGCTGTTGGGCTATGGGGCTATAGCCGGGCACCCCCGGGCACGCCCGGGCACCCGGGCACCCGGGCACCCGGGCGCCCGGGCACCCCCGGGCAAACCCCGGGCACGCGGGCCCTGGGCAACCCCGGGCACCCGGGCACCCAGGCGTGCGGCGAAAATCGGCAGCAGACCTAACCTAGCCATATGCATACGCTAGGACACCTACAGAGGCAAGCTCTGATTGGGAAAAAAGGACTACTGAAGAGTGCATTTGTCATCACCGCACCTGTGGTGCATCACCCACTGGGGGCCGCGCCCGCCTCGGTGGCGCGCAGCCACCTGTGGACCCCTGGGGAAAACGGGCGAAGGGTAGCGGTCTAGGTACCTTTCCCAGACCCCCGACGCCACCATGCGTTCATAGCGTCAACCCCCAGAGCTCTCGACCCAATCCCCGGGGCCAGCTTCTCCTCCCCAGCGATGGTTGACGGTCCCGAGGCCGAGCGAGGGCCCCCCAGAGGCCGAGCGTAGCGAAAGACCTTCCGTCGCGGAGGTTTTCCACAGGGGCAGGCATGCACGGCCGATGACCACGAGGCCACCAGTTGCAGACGTGACCCTCAGCGAAGAGGAGAGCGCTGCAATCCGCCGACCCCGCTTGCCAGCTGAGCGACGAAAGCAGGGTCTCACGCGAGACGGCATGGCGACCTGGCGCCGCGGCGTACGCGGACCGTCAGCGGGGCCCACCGCGTCGAGAGGGCTCCGGTGCACGACCTTACGCGGGAAGCTCACGCGCGAACCTCCGCGCAGTGGGACCCGTCTTCTTCTGCCGCTCGCGGGGACCGAGCGTGCGAGGTGTTTTCACGCTAGGAGGCAACTACTGGGAGGTCTTCGTCGGAAAGGCTAGGGAGAATTGAGGCCTTTCGGGGGGCTACCACGCCAAATAAAACGGATTCAACGGGATTAAGCGGGCTCTAACGGGATTAAGCCGGATTAAACCGGATTTTGGACCAGGGCAAGGTCAGGATTTGACCTCCCAGGAGTTGCATCCGAGTCCGAGCATACGCCGCCCTGGCTAGGGACACCCTGCCCCCCACGAGTGCAACAAGTCTCCTCGCAGAGCCTCCCAGAGAAGGGGGGGCGCAACTGCCTGTCTCCAACCAACACGTGCACCGAGCTACGAGACGCAAGAGATCTAACCAATCTATCTGTATTGCGACGGTTGGCCCGCAGAGCCTCCTTGGCCTGACCGAGTCGTGCACAGGACTTCCCTGGGACAGGGGGACGAAACCTTCGCCAGACTTCAACGGGGTCTCAGCGCCGTGTTTTCTGTCGCTGGCATAGCTGGGACAAACATCCAAGCCCTCCACCTTGTACCTTGCCTTCCTCAGGGCATCTGAGCAGCGACGCGAACCCCTTCTTCTGAGGGTGAGCGAAGTGGCGCAAGCCCGCAAAGTAGGATGCTACAGTGTGCGACCAGGGGCAGATGGACGGGACACCGATGCCACGCTGTACACCCGATGGAACAGCAGTTCTGGAAGAACGCCGATTCTGACTCTTGATGCCTGCTGAACTCTGCGGCGGGCCCGGAGGGGAAGTGAGAAGGGGCAGGCCTTCTCAGAAGGCTCGGTAGTCCCCTGGCCCTCCGAGAACCTGCTCTGAGCCTCCCCCCGAGACGCGGCAACCTTCTCAGAAGGCGCGAGGGCTTCTGAGGAGACCCGTCGCCTTGTGAGAGGGCTTTCTTCTCCTTCTCATCTCCCCCCCCCTCGCTCGCCGCCGAGGAACGCTTCCATCCGCCACCGTGCCGCGAGCACCGAGAGGAGTGCCAGCAGGCCCCTCCGCCTGGCTCCCTGGGGGGCCCCAGGCCCAAACCCTGGATGGCCCTCGAGACTGCCAGCACGGGGCGGCTCGAGCTGAACAGTGCTGTTCGCTTTCGTTTTGTTTTCGTAAGTCCCTCGTTCTGTCTTCCTTCTGCCCCTGTCGCGAGCGACATCGAAACGAAGACGGACCACGAAATCGCCAAAGCGTGTGTTAGCTCGAGACCTGCGCCTGCAGGCCCCGCAGAGGCCTCCCTCGAGGCCTGGCGGAGGCCACCGAGAAGCCCCCGGGGGAGGCCCCAGCGATGCTTCCGAGAGGGCCCCCAGGAAGACTCTCCGGTCCTCGACCCGAGCACGGTGGCGGAATGGGCCGAAAGCCGCCGCTCGCAAAAGCGACCCTGGCATTGCGGATGCCATGGCAGTGGACACGCGAACAGTCCTATCATTGAGTTAAAGATGTGTTTACAATGTGTAAAAAAACATTTATCTAAACATGTGCCAATCATGTTTTTAACATGTTTGAAACATACTTGAAACATCTTTCAGACGTCTGGAAATTATTTGGCAGCACGTTTCCTCTCCACTGATCGCCCTCCACAACAACAGGAGGCAAAGTCCAAGCCATCCAGGCGCGCCGTCGAATGCTGGCGGGACACCAAGGAAGGCCCGCACCAAACTCTGAGATCCTACGCTGCAGAGAAAAACAAAAATCCAGCGAACTCACAACCAGAGCCGTAAACCATGCATGTCTGCAGCTTTCTCCGAGCTATATCGATCTGTAACGGTCCTGGGGCCCGAAACCACGCGAAAACGCCTGGCGGTACCAAATTGCAACGCCTCGATCTCGGGCACATGCACTCCGGCCAAGGGCCACTCTTGCGCGCAGCCGGCTCTCGTTCGACCCGGTCCCCCCGCCGGCCTCCTCTCAGCCGCCGTCCCTCAGCAAAGCTGGCCCACTGCCGTCGGGCGCACCCTGCTCGCGGCTCATGGCGAGC